CTTTACTCCGTAAATGGCAGCACAATGAGTAAGACGTTTTCCCATTGTTTTCCGATGTCCTGCTTAATTACGTTTTAGTAAATAGGAAACATACATAAATATGTTCATAGTCATTTTTGGAAACTTGTATGTTCAGAATGAGTATCTTGAAGTAAGTGTAATAAGACCTCCTAATTATAAAATTTTGCTGTGAGATTTACATTAATAAAGCCTCGTAGCTGTCTACCTTTACTCTAGCTTTTAGACTATGCAAAATGATCCACATCCACTGCGCTACATGCAGTATGCTTAATGGCGTATGTAAGTGAATGATGTCCCTCTAACCTAAAAGGTACCCCTTGGACTTTTTAACTCCTGGCAACAAGTGCAACAGATAATTGGAGTAACAAGTTATCGTAGAATTTAAAAAAGTTTTAGGAACCAAAACCTATCCAGTTTTTTATTGTAATGAACGCTACTTATGTAAAATTCTACGCAATGACAACAAAATATAATTTACTTCGTTTATGCCTGTTCGCTATTGAATATACTTGAGTTTATAAGGACGTCAAAAAATCAACGAGGAATATCCTGGGACAGACGTTGCCACATTATAAAGAGTGAGGCTTTTTCGGAAGTGAAGGAAGCGCGTTCCAAAGGAAGCATAAGGACATGACTGAAATATGCAGTGATAATGCTACGTGCTAGTCACTAATACCTTAATGATTAAGGCAACTCTTAAAATCGAATCTAATGTCAGAATTTATGAGATAACACATATACTGGAAACATGTGAAAAAATAGCGGATAATTAACAGAAATATTTCTAATCGTAAGTTCATTTCAGTCTTTACCTTTACGTTTCATGAGATAGCATATCAACTGACGAGTTTTCTGCAGTTAAACTGCTGTTCACTGACGCTTAAGGTTACCTGATGCGATACGTTCTGCAACACACCAAATGCTAGAGGAAATTTACAAAGTACACGACATAAGACAATCAATACAGTCTAGTTTCCCAAGTCCACCTCACGGAAGATTCTTTCCAACCTACGCCGGGAAAAGAACATGGGGAACGGCAATAAGGTGCACTTCTACTGGGATTGAAAACGCGTAAGATGGTAGAATTTTCCAGGTTGCTGCACACAATAAAAAGATTCTTAAGCGCACGAACTGCGACAACTGTCTTTTTTCCCACCTAGGATCGCGAATCTGCCCTTTCGCTTCCTTCCTTCCTGGCTGATTCCGCCTTCTTTGCCGCAAGGCAAACGTACGTTTTTCTATCCTTTTCGACACCGTTCGCATAAGTGCAATTTATTTTTGGCCTGAGTCGATGCATATAAATTCGCTTTAGATTAGGCGTGCAAATAGTTAAAAAAAGTCTGCAATGATAAGTGCGTCAGCCGTTTCGTTTCGATATAACGCATTACGTTTATAAGGAAGTTGAGTTGAAAAAGACATTGTCAACGATTTTTCAGCTATTGCCTGAAGGTTCATGTATGCCCTTAGGATCTGTCTGTGGTAAAATTGAGGGTTGTCTGTTGACCTTAGCACTCTTTCACAGCAAATAAATGTTATATAAATGATAGATTTTAACACATAATGTTTCCTTATCTTTTGGGAAATAAAATGAATTTTTAAAATCTGCCCTGTATCATTTGTTGATACTGACAATATTGTTTACTTGTGTTGCGTGGCTGATTTATTAACCCATTTTTTAAATTAAGGCCCTTTCCTATAGAAATATCAGTAAATAGGCAAATTTAGTATAGTATCAATACCTTTTATATGACATTTCCTGAAGACATTCCTAGAACGCGTTTTAAAATTTCTATTATCAGCCACAACTGTTTAATATCCGAATCCCTTCAAGTGACAGTTATGTTATTACTGCAGGTTACGGACGTTTATTTGGAAAAAAAATTATTGTGTAGGTTTACTATACAGGCCTGCCCATGTTGACAATTAAAAAGCATTTTGCTGTTTATATTGAGAAAACGGTACTAGAATCCGATAAACGAAGAACTTTTAATTCTCTTTCAAGGTTACTTTTTCTTCTCTACGGAATATTGTGGTGGGCATTGTTGAGTTGTTTTATATTCCTATTCTGTGGCAAAGAATACCAAAAACTCGCGTCTTGAATAAACGTTTGAGTATATTAGAGGAAACCGAGGCGGTATGGAGCAAGCAGAAATGAAAACCTTTAACTAAATACCCCTAAATGAGCGTTATTTTTGTCCGTCGGAGGGAAGATTTGACAGGTCTAAGCACATAACACCATGGTGGACTAACCCGGTGTGTATTTATATTTTTAGACGTGTTTCCCCGCCTTCTGTTGGAGCTGCCATTTTTTGCATGGCGCGCTGCCTCTAAAAAGTACACATTGCAGGAGTCACCGCTATGGGCCCTGTTGACAGTCTGCGAATAAACCACATCAGTATTGGCTTGAAGTTATAAATGTTCACCTCTAGCTTTGGCATGCTGCTGGCTTTTTTTAGACTTCCTAACGCGACCTCTTCCAATGTCTTGCTCTGAAACCTTTGTCATTGCTGATTTGTAGTTTGCAGGCGGCTTCTATTGAAAAATGCAAATCAACTTTTCAGCCAGATTGCATCGACCGATCGGAATATCGGTGAAAAGATGCAAAACATGCGAAACGGCCAACTAGACGCACTATTAATACATTTGGGAATTTCGAAAGATACTTAATAAGTTTATTTTCGGGAAGAAAAATGCCCGTTAGGGTTCCGTTTACTTTCGAATGTTGCGTTACTGCATAATCGTAATGGACAAGACCGTTAGATATCCGGTAACTACTTAGTAAATCTAATGGACAAGCACTTTGAACTATTTATTCAAACAATGAAAGGTTTATGCGCTGCGAGTTGCCATATAGAAATAGGAAATAAAACGGTGGTGTCTTTATAATATGCAGTTTAAAATTTAACTGCGAATAGCGATGATTATGAAAAAAATTGAAGACTAAGTCTCCAAAATGTGCCTGCAACTCCGCATCTAATGTATTGTTAGGCGCTCAATCTGGTAGGAACAGAGCCAAGTCAAGTCAAGTTTATTAAGGGAAATATAGGCAACTCCCTATTGGTACACAGTAATTAAGAAATGCATTGGCACAGCCGAACATTTCAAAGAAGGTCGTATACGTAATTGTAGGCGACTACTCACTTGTTTAAAGTAATACAATCGCAGGTGGTGATGTCAGTTCACACTAGCCAGCAGGTGTAACTGAGCAATAAGAGCAGACAGTGAGAAAACTCCAAAGGCATGGCTCAAAATTCAAAAATAGGATGTCATTTGTGTTTCTTTAGGAGAAAAACTGCTTGCATCTCAAATCAAAACTTGTAAGCTGGGCGATATGAAATTGCCCGTTATGACAAACATACATATATGGGTACTTATCTCTTCTGAAATACTTCGCGGACTATCATGACTAACAAGGACCATTAAGGAATTTATTCCATGGGACAAGAATCAGTTTGAAAGTTCGATTGTAGTCCGTACTGCTTTGAACAGTGTGTTTGTCATGGATGGTCATTCATTCTCCGCAGGCTAATTGGAGGGTTTACCTGTGGTTCATCATATAGGTTTTATAGGACCAAGTTTAAATTTTTATATTTTTTGTCTTCAGACCGCAGAAATTTATTTTTAAAGGTAGATCATATTTAATTTACAGTTCATATTTCATCGTGGTGTCTCACATATGCGGCTTCTAGCCTGTTGGTGGCCTTGAGTCCGGCAAGCAAGGAAGGGGTCTTCTCACTGTCGGCGTGCGTAGTTGCGGAAGACGTCTGTTCTGGCGTTTTTTTCAACATTAAACACTTCGGTAAACACATCCTGTAGCTTTGCTGATCTGAAGAGCAATATTTCTTTGGTTTCTCCCAAAAGGCTGCGTCGTAAGTAGTACATATAAAATTACTATACAGACTTCTTTATCAGTATCCAGAGGGTACCGCACGGACGGATCAGTCAAATCCTACGAGACGGAGACAGCTCATAACAGTTGGCTATATCAGATACAAAATATATCATTTGCATGAAAGCTATATTGCTGCTTTCACTTAACCATTTCTAAAGTCATTTAAGTGTGTACTCACAGGTATGATCCCAAGAGAGATCATGTGGTACAATAATACGTCTCTTCAATTCACTTTCAAATTACCTTAAAACTTTTGAAATTAAAGTGGCAAGTCAGAGAACCTGACATATATTTCCTGGAACAAACAAGAATCTTCAACACCTACGGCATCTTGAAAAAAATGTAAAATCTGACAGAGAAAACAGCGCTTGCGTTTTGACGACGAACGGCTATTTTACTTGACGCCGCAATGGTGCTCGTTATCATTAAAGAAAGAAACGATAGTACAAAAAATGTATGGTACTTTCTTTCATGGAACATTTGAGAACGTCGCCCAAGATCAGCTTGTCTTAAAAAGAACAATTAAGACTGGGGCAACATTCTAATAACCGAATCGGACACCCGCCTCCAAAGTTTAAACCTTATCTGACCCACAGTAACGATTCTCACGCTGTCAACAATCTGCTTGTGCATGGATGGGCCTCATCGGACATCTCCTGACCATATGCAGTGACAGTTCGTTTTATCTGACGGTTTCCTCCAAATCGCCACATCGTCAGCCCTGCATTAGATCCTCGAGAAGGTGACCATCATCCTCCTCACAATTGGTGATCGCGATCCTAGTGCCCTGCTGCTGCTGTCACAGAAGACATTGACCACCACCACCACATGCATCCTCACCATCACAATCCCCAAAATGGCGACAACAATCATTATCACCTCTAACACGTTCACCACTGAGGAGAATACTCCCGACATCCCAGTAGCCATCACCCTCACCACCTCAGTCCCCATCACCCAAAATAGGGATTCGAGTACGATCTGCTGCCATTGCTATCGTACCTCGATAATTTGCATCGGCCTGGCAGTCATTCACGAATCCATTGCACTAAGAGGAGTGCACCATTGGCAGGATCTTCGGCACAACTTCCGGGCACACACCTCGGCTATCCGCACTAGCTACACGCATTCAGTCATTACCTGGGCCTGGTCGGTCATACGCGGAGTCATGACAGCACTGCAATATCGGCACGCCAGAAAGCGGAAAGCATTCGCCCACTCCCACTTCGCCGGCGGAGCGGACACCAGCAGCATCATCACTGCAACTTACTTAGCAGCCTCCAGCCTATCCTGAAGATATCACAGAGAGACTGGCGAACCGGCAATCGTCGTTTAAGTACTGCACCTCATATACGGCGCATAGAAGTTAGTTATAGGGGTTTTATGGGTGAAGAATTAGGATTTGAAGCGGAGTATACGTTAATCAATGCTATGTGCATTTCCATTTTACTGTACTTAGAAGTGTTATTGATTTATATCTGTAGACTTGCGTAATCCGTTTTATGGTTTACAGTTTTGCTGGAAAACCCGATATTCCTACAGGTATCTTGAAATTCTTGAAAAAATAGAAATGGTGGTTAGGAGGTCGTTCCTCCCTGAAGTCCAACTTGTCGTTCTGAAGTTAGATTAATTTAATCCGCGGCGTGAAGCGCCGCACACACCAATTTAAATGCAGAACAACTTAATCTCAGCGGCTGTGGGAAACAAAATCATCTACATTTTTCCACTTTCCTCTTACTTCTACAAATTTCCTCCACTGCCTATCCTATTTCTCCACCCTCAAAGTCCTATAAGCACCGTTTCCATAGGACAAATTGCTGGCATTAGGGGGTATATAAGATGCACTAAATAAGCTAATTTTGCCGGTGAACCAACGTCAGCAACTTCAGTCGTACTTACCTGACTCATTCACAACATTCAGTTCTCAGCTGACACTCACTCGGTCACCACATTGGCCAGCGCGGCCACATGCACATTCACGCCAATCTACGATAAAACACTGTTCGTCATCATCATCACCATCATCACACATCACACACCTAACGACCGTTTGACCATCAACTCCGACGATGTCTGGCTTGTGTTTCAACAGGCGGAAGAGAAGCGCGGTGACTTGCGATGCATCTGCCATACACTCCCATCCCTCAACCGCCCGTGCCTTGGGTCATGACCGTGTCAGCAAAACCAGGGCGGGGTCCGGCACACACACACATTCTACACAAGAAGCTTTTCCGCACCATCCTCCA